GGTAATGCCTGGAATCACAGCCAACAGGAGTATCACAACACCATCCACCCCCATAGGCTTTGGTCCTTTCTTCAGTAAAACATTAACCAGCATGCTTTGGAGGAGGGGGAGAAGCTGCAGGAACAGCTATGGGGAGTTGGGGTGGGGGGAGGGAAGTGGCAAAGCAGATCATACCATGTGTGTGGGGACCAATGGAGTTTAATTAAAGGGCAAAGGTTGGGATGGGTGGAAGATCTGGGGAGGTGTGATTGTTTGCTGAGGGAGGGTATAGTCAACCCAGTACCATTGGATATGGGCAGCTTTAGCCTAGACACACAAGTACATACACAGACATATACCTATACACAAACACACACATGTGTGAAGGCATGCACATGTAAGTACAAGTACACACATGCACATGTACATATATGAGTACATAAGCATGAACTCATGTTCAGATGTACATTTAAATACCCACAGACATGCAAACAGTGAAGAAAAGGTTAAGTACTGGGCTACAGGGACCCAATCTCCCATGAAGGGGGGAAAGGGCATAGTAATGATTCAGGAACACTCAAGTAGGGAGGAGAATGGGGCTAATTGAAAAGGGCTCAGCTTCTTTCCCCAGGCAGGGCTGCTGGGATGGGACCAAAAGTCACCAAAGCCTACAGAGCAATAATTTACTAAAAATGTTCCTTGGAATTCGGAGAACAGGCTGCCTCTCCCAGAGGGACCCTCTACCTGCAAAGGAAAGGCCAGTAGCAGGGACTGAGAAGCAGCACTTCCACGCAGGTGTCCTGGGGGCACAGCCCGCTTTTTCTCGGGCTGTAACTTACAGTTCTGGCAGCGTCTTCCCTCTCACCCCACGACACACCTCTCCCACCAGGGTAGGTCCCAAGGTATACCTAGCTGCATGTGGCCTTCTAAGTCTGGGCTCTGACCTCCCCCCAGAAGCCTCTTTCAGCTTCCCTTCCTAACTAAGGTGAGCATCTAAGAAACCCCAGTCCGGGCTTCCGGCCCTCTCAGTGAGCCAGCGGGGAAGAGGTCAGCAGCCCCATCCCTTCCTCCGGGGCGTAGGGAGGAAGAACCCACGAGGAGCCGGAGAGCCCTAGGCTCCTCCCGACCACCTGGGGCTCCCTCCTAACCTCAATCCCTCCCGCCGCAGTTTGAGGACGTTTTCTTCTCCTTCTGTCCTCTGGGGCCTGGACTTAACCCAGATTTGGAGAAGACCCTACCTCCCCCACGGGGACCTCCTGGTGCCCCACGCCACGCAGGGGCACCATCCCCACCCCAGATGTGGCTCCCCGCCACGGCGGGGGGGCTGGAGGGGGAAAGGACCCCGGCCCAGGCCTCTCCGTCCCCACACCTGCTGCGGCCCCACTCGGCTCCCGCCTCCCACGCAATCCCCGGCCCGGCCCAGCCCGGCCCGACCCGTGCACCTGCGGCCTCGGCTCCGGACATCCAAGCTGGACGGGGCCGGGCCGAGGCCCAGCCCCGACCCCGGAGGCCGCTGGAGGGAGGGTCGACACCCCCGCCCCCACCCACCTTTCGGTTCCTAAATCCGGGTCCATAGCGACACGGACACTACCGCTGCAGCCACACAGCCCTGGCCCGGAGTGGGCGGGCCCGGGGGCGTGGTCGGAGCGCTGGCGGGGCGGGGCCGGGGTGAAGGGTAGGAGGGCGGGGCTGGGAGAGAGCCGACTACCTTCGTTCCGCGGGACGCCCGGTCTCGCCTCGCCTCGCCTCCGAAGGCTCCCGCGACCCAAGGGTCACCGCCGCAGCTCGGGCCACGCCCCCCGCCCCAGCCGGCAGCTCCGGGCACCTATTGTACTTGACCTCGTGGGCGGAGGGGCCTCCTCGGGCGCTCGGGCGCCTGGGCTTGTCCAGCGCCGGCTTCGAACCCTGCCCGCGCACCGGCCGGTGTGGGAAAAAGCGTGGGCCGCAGCAGTCCTGAGCATCCGCCGACTTGTCGAGGGGCTGCGATCAGCGCCAGGGAGTGCCCACCGGGCACAAACCTTAGGTCGCCCCCTCGGCTTTTGGCTCCCGGAGCACAGACAGGAGCCGCATTGGTTTTTTTCTCCCTGTGTCTCCAGGTACCTCGCACTATTGTTCATCGGAATCTCTGCATCGGAAGTGCGCCCCCTAGTGGCCCGCACTGCCCCCTGCACTTTGGCTTAGATCCTTAAACTTGGTCGTAGTGGGGAAACGGAGGCACCGGGGGAGGGTCCCCGGTCCGCATCCAGTAAGGGAGGGAACTTAATGGCTTATTGGCAGACCCTGTGCCACCCCTACCCTCGGCGGTTTATAAGGTCCTGAGATAGGCTTCCTGGGCCCATTAACGTATTCTCCTGGTAAACTGGTTTTTTTCTTCATACCTGCCCCAGTCTTCGAACCCCACCTCCACTCAACTTGGTTTTGGTGGAGTCTGACTGCTGATTACTCCTTGTATAGAGAAGTCATGAGAAGCCTTGTCTGGTGGAAAGAATTTGGAATTTGGAATCTGGCCGCCTGGGTTTTGCATCTGGATCCTGGACCTGCTTCTGGATCTTTCCACAAGGGAGTTCTTAGGCAAATCACCTAATTTCTACATCCGCAAATAAATGACAGGATTAGACTAGAAATTCAATAACTTCCCCCTCTTCCCCTACTTAATCTATGTTCTTTAGTCATTGAGCCTCTAGACTCCACCCTCTTCCCCTCCCCTAGTTATTTTGTACATTAACTAGTTCAAATTTTCACAAAATCAGATAGAGAACTATCCTCCTTGGAGAATCCCCTCTACAAAAAAAAGCTGACAAGATATGCCTAGCCTTTGATTGAGGTCTAGTGAAGGGGTAATAGACCAAGACAGTCCACCTTTTGGATGGCTCAGATTGCTAGGAAATTCTTCTTACACCCAAGCTAAATCTGCCTGTCTTCCAGCTTTTCTCCCTTGCTCCGAGTTCGGTCTTCTGGGGCAAAGAGCAGAATAAGGTCTAGCCCTTTTTTCGAATGAATACTTCAATACTTTTAAGATCACGTTCCTGCTGTTTTCTCTTTTCCAGGTTCAGGAGTTCATCTGCAGATCTAAGCCAGACAGCCTCTTGGGAAGTAAAAGGACCTGAGCACCTCCCATTCCCCTGAAGACTTAAAAAAAAATTCTCCCACTTAATAACTTAATTATGCCTTTTAAAAAAAATCATTTCCCTGGGGCAGGTAGTAGAACACCAACCTTGGAGTCAGGAGGACCTGAGTTCAAATTCAGCCTCAGACACATAATACTAACTGTGCAACTCTGGGCAGGTCACTTAACTCCAATTGCCTTGACTGACCCCCTACCCCCCCAAAAAATCATTTCCCAATATAACACCCCCACCATCCTCCTTTGTAATAAAAATGTGTAACTACCCCCATCTTTTCCCACTTTGTGTAGTTATGTTATGGGGGATGGGGTTGAGGGTGCCGAGTCCGTTCCCAGCCACACAAAGGGAATGCTACTTCTCTGGATAAACCACAAGCAGATACCTAACTCTTACTAAAACCTGCAGATTCCTAAAACGGTAAGAGATGGACAGTCAGGGTGAAGGGAAAGGAGCAAAAGCCAAGCAGAAATGAGAAGGGGTTGGATTGGGCATGATTAAATGGAGGGGCCTGGGGAGACGAAGCAAAGAGAATAAATTTTGGACACGAAGTGGGGGGCCAGATCATGAAGGGTTCTAGTAGTTTTTATCTAAAAGATGGCATCATCTAATCTAACCCCACTAATTTTACATGAGGGAACCAAGTTCCAAAGAGGGGAAGTGATTTGTTCTAGGTTGGACAGCAATATTTGAACCCAGGGCCCAACTCCAAATCTGATGCTTTTTTTGACTGTTATGACAGTTACCTTAAACCTAGGCTCAGAAATTTAGACTTGGTGGTGTCAGAAAAGAAGGAAATGGAGAGATGCCCAGATGAAAATTGTGTTTAATGTAGATAATTCTAACAATGATGCTGAAGGACCTACCAGAAGTGTTCAGTCCCAAGGGAATACAAGTCAACCTGACTTGCTCGATTGTGAACTGACTCATGTTCACTGCCTTCTGTGCAGGAGCTGCTTGCTAAGATACTGTAGGACCTAGTGCTGCTGAAGAATAAGTGGGTAAAAATCAGGCTTAGGGCTACTGGCTTTGGCAACAAAACCCAGAGGGAGCACAGCAATGGGCAATGAGCTTGGAGACAGGAAAACCAGAGTTCAAATCCAGCCTCAGACACTAGCTGTGTGACTGGCCAAGTCGCTTAATTTGTCTAGTTTTCAACTGTAAAATGGGAATGCTAACAAAACTACCTACCTCACAGGGCTGTTGTGAGAATCAAAAGACATAATACTTGCGCCATGCTTAATACAGTGCCTGGCAAATTGGTGGTTAATGTTTGTTTCCTTCCTTCTTATCTTTACCTTTTTTTAAATTTAGGAAAATCTGCAATTTCACTGCTTGATACTCACTGGTGAATATATTTGACTTGTTAGGGTAGAATGAGGCCTATTACTGTATCTGATTGCAAAACGAAACTTTATCTTACCGAGAAAGAAACAGGTTATTAAAAACAACTTCCCCCAGAAAGCTTCCCTTGACTGCTACCAGCTTCCTCAGGTTATTTCTTTATCAAATCCTTTTAGTACTTTTTGTCTCAGTCTTTTAGAAAAGAAATACTTTGTAGTCCTAGAAAGAACACTAGACTAGAAGTCAGAAAGGTTGGTTCTAGTCCTAATTGTGCATATGAATCAGTTAATTCCTTTGGGCTTGTTTCCTCACCGGTAAAATGGGGAAAATACCTAACATTTCTATAGTACTATACAAACTATTCAAGTGCCTTTCCCACAATAAACCTGTAAGGTAGAAGTGTAAGCATTGTTCCCATTTTACAAATAAAGAAAGAGGCTCAAATGCCAGGCTCAAAAAGAATGCATAGTAGAACTTGAAAAAAAGACTTTAAAAATCAATTGAGAGAGAGAAGAAAAATAACCATTAAGAAAAAAGATTATGCAAAGAAAGTCAACCAATTAGAAAAGGACATCTAGAATCTTAAGGGAAAAAAAACACTTGAAAATCAGAATTGGGGAAAGGGAAGGCAGCAAAATTATGAGAGAT